CAGACACCTTCCCCATCCCTTCCTTGGCTGCTATAGGTGTGGAGCTGCTCTTCCCGTGCCACACTGTAGGCCACAGCACTCCCTGTGCCCACATTGACCCTCTGCTATGCCAGTGTTCTTTTCTGTTCAGTGGCAAGATGAACCTGAATTAAAAACAATCTCCTTTTTTTTGATTGGGTTATTTGTAGTCAGAATTACATCCCTGACTTGGTTTAGGGCACAGTCCTGCAGGCAATTTCATCAGCAGAGTCGAGGAAGGATAAGAACAGGAGCTGCTCAAAGCAGCGCTGCAGGTAGAGAGAAAAGTTCCAAATATGCATTGACTGCTGTACTAACAAACTTGTGCCTTTTAGAGCCAGGTACCTTGGTTAGCAGTGGGTGGGAGGGCTGTGAAGAAAATCATATCACCCTCTGAGCAGAAGGACACGTCAAGACAGCCTTTCCTCAGCCTCTGGCCAAGTGAGCAGTGGTGAGGTCTGGTTCCTTGGCTGCAGTCTGCTCCCTTGTTGGGCCGTGCCACCAATGCTGTTACTGAAATGATTGGGGTTAAAAATAACCTGGTAAAGAGTTAAGGGAAGTATTTTTAGCCCAGATCATTTCAGTGATCCAGTTTACAGCACATCCCTACAAACACACTGGCATGAGGGAGGGGGAAGGAAAGGTCAAGGGAAAAAAGAGCAGTTGGAAACATGAGCTCTTTGTCCAAACCAGGATTTCATGAAACGGCACCCCAAAAGCGCTGACGCTCTCTGCTTTTCACCCAGCTTCCTGACAACTGGGTTTCTCATGGTGAAGCAGTGAGAGCTGTCTGCTGAAGATCTCTGATTTCTGGATCCTGTTTCTGAGAGCAAGACACCGGCCCTGGGCCTCTTACGCTATTTTGTGTCTGCCACTATGTTTATCATTATTTTTGCCCCATTTGCTTTTGCTTCAGAGGATAGGGCAGCAATGAAAAACTCCATGGGAGTCAGGGGGAAGCTGTGCAGAGCTTGTGCAAGTGCAGGGTATGAGAAGGCAGCAGGCATGATGGCCTGGTGTGAGGACTGCCTTTGGGGAACAGCTTTTGTGAAGCACTTCAGGGCAGGAGAGGCATGCAGAGCTGACAGGGCAGGGCCTTATAAACAAGTCTAGATGCAGCTGCATGAGGACGAGAGTGGGAAAGTACACAGGACTGGTGCAAACAGTCATGTAAGCAGCAGCTGGGTTCATAGCCACAAAACACACCAGTCTTGCAAGGTGCTGCACAGTCACCCGCCCTTGCAGTTAAAAGGTGTTCAGTGCAGCCAAAGTATTGTAAATACAAAAGCAGGCACTTCAGAGGACTCCTGGCACAGTGGGGGACACATCTCTGCTGGTACTCCGACAGTATGTTGGTGCTGCTTAACCCCAAACACTTCACTGTACGGTAATTAATACACATTTGCTCTTTTCACCAGACAAAGCAGATGCACAAATCCAAACTGGAGCTTCTCCCTCACTGTCTGTTTCCAACACCTACAGGTCCCCCTTCTGACTAGCACCGCAGTCACCTATCACAGCCAGTGCCCAAACTTGTAGGGTACCAATCCCATGACATGGAATCAGGACAGCTTTCAGTTGCAGAGGCCTGAGGGTGGGGGGAGCCAGTTTTGAACCAATCCCAGCAGGATGTTCAAATTCATCCCCAAAACTACCTCTGGGCTTTCCAGCTTTTCCCAGGACTCTTTATAATTTTGATTTCATAAGAAACTCATTATCTGTAGTGATGCTCCCCGCCTGTAGCTTACATCCATGACCCTTAAGAAAAGTTCTTTGTGAGTACACAAATGGTACAGACAGGAAACTGTGGCTTCTAGACCCCTTTTGTCCTTAGCGCCTTTAACCCTAGCACCTTCTGCCATATTAGCCTGCCAGTGCAGTCACAATTGCACCTTGAAGAGACACAGCAGGGATGGTGTGTCTACCAGACAGCCTGTGAGAGAAGTAGGGGCATACATCTCTGCTAAAAATGGTGGTGCCTCTTCAAGCCATCTGCAAAATAGAGGCAAGGCAGGCAGTACATTTTGCTCTCACATCAGAGGCAATGATTCCAAAGGAAAAGGACTCTTTCAAAGGAAGGAGAGGCTTTTGTGGGAAGTTTGAGTTGCTGAAACTGTAGCTACTCCATGAATAAAGGCAGAACTTTCTTCTGCAGCACAGCTAGAGGGACTGGGTTCAGTCTCAAAAGCAATGAGATGGGATTAAAAAAAAACATTTTCAAATTTACTCAAATTTATAAGCTTACTTGGAAGAGGAAAGTGAGACTCCTCACAGAGAACTTGTTAGATGCGCTTCCTCTTTTGCAGTGATATGTTCACATTGATGGTGCAATTTAATTCCTGTTTTGCCTCTCAATCTGAAATCTTTCAGAATATGTGACGCTTAGATACTTATTTTTATGGAAGAGTGAAAGACCTCCGAATAGCAGCCACCAAATGGCTGATGGAATAAGTCTTGTACCGTGGCTCACTGCTTTTAGTCCATGCAGACAGACCACATTTCTGACAGGTGCTAAATTCAAGTCTCAATAATTCTGCTGTTTTTGGAAAAGAAGGCCAGAACTGCTCCTCATCATCATTTAGAAAGTTGGTGGACTGTGTCAATGAATGGGGAAAACACTAAGAATGGAAGAGAATGCACTAATACCCCGGGTCAGGAGAGAGCTAGCACCAAGCAGCCATGTCTCAGTGATGGAGGAGGCTGAGGGCTGGTGCCAGCTCTGCGTGGAGAGTGAGAACATGAGGCTTCCCACTTCTTGCAGTGAACACGCAACCACTGGAAATCAGCAGGAGAGCACTTTCCTTCCCATGTGAGGGAGGGAGTTTTCCGCATCCAAGTGTCCCAGTATGGTGAACCCCCTCGACTAGGAGGCACACAGCCTGGAACACCAGCTGGGAAAAAAAAGAAAAGAAAAAAATACCCAGCCCTGTAGAAAAAGCTGGACAGAGGACAGCAGTTCAATTGCCAGAAAGGATCTGAGAAAGGACTTTTCCTGTTGCAAAAGGCATAGCGTAATTGGAGAGCCTGCAGCTGGCAGTTTTGGGAGGACACAGCCCGTGGGCTACTTGTTCTAATCTTAGAATGGCATGCTCACTGCTTCCTGTGCGCTGGACTCAGGCTCCATGTGCTGGAGAACTGTGCTGCAGTGCTACCAGCAAAAAAAGAAATGCACAGAGAAAAGGAGCCGTGTTTTCAGACCGGAGAGCAACAAGTTTAACAAAAACAGCCACACAACAACCTCAACATAAGAGGTCAAGGAGGCCAATAGGAAATGCACTGCCTTTTCTGGGTGAAGGCAGAGGACTGTGAAAGAAGCGCAAGTATGAGAAGAAAAGAGACTATAGGGGAGGCAACCCACCCACACAAACTTCTGGCACCTGCATTTCCTCAGCCTTAGCTCAGTCTCTGAGTCAAGCACTTGGATTCTTTCTCCTTTCCCCAGCTTCATCGTTCTTCCCCTCCTATTTCCAGGCAGCCCTTCCTGAACAGCATGGAGCTCTGGAAAGGGCTCTGCCTGCCCACTGAGCCCAGACATCATTGTTTCATGCTGCACGTTGTCCTCTTCATCTGCTTACTTCACTGGTCCTTCCTTTCCCCTTCTCTGCCACTTCCCCTGCCTCTGATGACACTAATGAAGGCAGAGAAGATGGAGGGAAGAGCTGCCAGCAGCTCACTGAGAAGACCAAGCTTGAAATGGCTTTTGTGGGTGGATGTGAGAAGCTGGTTGGAAGTATATGGGAAGATTTTAAGAGGAATCCTGAAAACAGAATAACAGCATATACTGGGGATTTGTGGGGCTGGGAGAAGTAGGATGGCATTTATTGGGAGCTATCACTCTCTGAGAAGGGGAAAGGTCCTCTGGTCAGAAGAAACAGCTCATACACAGCTTGGTGCTCTGCGGGCCTTTTACCTCCATCAATACTAAAGGAGTGGTTACATTAACTAGCCAGCCAGTTCCTTCCAGGCAGAGCAGCATGAAGGGAGAAGGAAGAGCACCTCTGGAGAAACAGAAATGTATTCCTCAAACAGCTTTTGGTGCACTTTCTGACTGAGAAATAGAAATGTGTAGAACATGAAGGACAGCAAGCATTGTGCTGGTCATGGATTAATAGTGGTGCTATAGGGAGTGGAGGCTCCTTTCCGATGGTTCGTAGCCTAGTTTGTAGTTCTGAAGTCTCAGTTACCAAAAAAACAAGGATTGTTGGCTAGATATTCACAGTTCCTCTGGTTTGGTTTTCACTGCATCAGATACTGAAGACAAAGAACAAAAGTTTCCTTTCATGAGCTTTGATTTCAAGGCTTGCTCTTGCCCTTTCTTGATACATAACAAAGAAAACAAGGTCAATGTAGGATGAGCAGGGCTGTTTGCTGCGAGAAGAGCTGCACCATCCAGTCTCCATCAATCCCCCTACTTCTCAGCCTGCTCTGGCCCAGGAGAGGGGAAGCTTCCCTCAGCACTGGTATTTCCTCCCTCCCGCCCACCCGCCTGATCCTTTCATTGCCATAGAAAGCAGAACAGCACAGGGACATCTCCAGGCAGATGCTAGCTTGCTGCAGGGGCAGAGAACGGCTTCTCATAACAGAACCATTGGAAAAGGAAGGGTGCTTGTCACTAGGGCAGCAAAAATGGGTGGGAGGGATGAGAAGTGAATGGGGATGTCATTTATCACTCAATTTCATCAGCTCACTGCTAGGAAAAGAGAGGGAACATGAAAAATACTGAGTATAGAACCTTCAACCAGGGATGAAAAGTGTATGAACTACTAATTTTATGTGATTCTACTCACTACCTTGGATATCTGAATGTACTGCTATGTCCTGTATTCCCAAAACTTCTGCTCTCAGACTGGATGATCGATGCCAGATGTGAGAAACTGCTGTAAGTCGTTGCTTACTCCTGAACTTTGTAACACACAAGCTCCTCTCTAGCCTGCTTGTTTTTCCCAGCCTTTGCTCATAGCATACTGTTTCTGATTTGTCAGAACAGGCCAACAGAAACCAATTCAGAGGTGGACAAGTCGGCATCTCCCTCAGTGGCTCAGCTAGCAGGGAAATTCAAAGAGCAAGCAGCCAGTATCACTGGAAAAGAGGTAAGGAGCTTTGCAGCCACCAGCAGGTAATGAAGTGGGAAATTAAACACTTGCTTCTGCCTGTAGAAGTTAAAGCCTCAGTGCATAAATCCACCTTGATTTTGAATTTCCTAAAAGGCTCTGTCTCATAAGTGCAGTGCAAGCTGTGATACTATCTTCGGTGCATTGCAGAATTGTGCATGGTTTTTTTGGCAGAGCCACACGTTCATACTGTAACTGAGATGCTCTAAAGCTGGGTGGGATATGCAGATATCCCTAACAGTAGCAGGCAGCAATGCATGTACTGTGTAGGCTGGCTTTTGTAAGCTGAGGGTAGCAATGAATAATAAAGAAGCTAATTTTGAACTATGGAAGAAGGTGGCAAACAACAGGTTACGTAGAATAGAAGCCAGTGGCATGTCACTAGCACCTTGTTCACAAAAAAATAAAGTTACCTTTAGGTGCTTCATTCTATACCTTTCTGAGACAGAAAGTTATCTCCTTAATTGCCCCAGTTACCTCTTTACAGTAACAACATTTCAGATTCTGTGCCTATCTCTGTTATGCTGAGGGTTTATTTTACTGAAAGCCCACTGTGCCAAGCATTCAACTCACAAGTTGTCTTTCACCAGGTAAGCAGAACACTTGAATACCTCTCTTAGGAAGAAAGGAAAATCAAAGTGTTTACTGATGAATTCTGACATTTTAGGAAAACCCCTTGTATCACTACACACTTTTCTAGAAGTGTAAATGCCTACTGACAAGCCCTCTCCAGTCAATAGGTTTAAAACTCCTTTAAAATTGAACTGTTTGCTTTTCTTGCTCAGCTGATTTCAGTTTTGTCCCAGTCTGCACCTAAGGGCATCCTCCCTGTAATGCATCCTCCATGTAATGCATCATGTCTTTGGCAGGATGCACTGGTGACCTCTGCTGTGTGGGTCTGGAGTGCCACTGTTTATCAGAGGTTAGCACTCATATAGCTGGGCCCCAGGCTGGGAATAGCAAGTCTCTCCCCAGCCACTACTTTTTTTCTTCCAGTCACCAGTACACTACTCCATCCATCCCATTATAGTCATTTCCTCTTTTTAAGGTATGGGATTAAATTGCACCAAGTTCCTCATCCTTAGGAAGCCAGAAAGTTCCCAAACCTTCCACATGTTATCTGCAGACCTCTGCTGTTCCCAAGCCCAGGCAGGGTAGAGTGGCCTCACAGTGAGGGAAAAACTCATTTTCTCCAGGGACTGAGGAGGACAAAGTTTCCTGTCTTTTCTCTCCAAGCTGCCTGTCACTTCCCCACAGCTTTCTCAGGCTGGTCTCAGATTAATGGCTGCCTGGATGGTCCTTAACCCTTGCTTGACCCATGTCAGAAATGAGGAACCTATCAGCCAGTGAAGCTCTGACCATCACTGTGGCACAACACAGCATTGTTTGGTCGCAGAATGGTAGGGTTTCAATAAAACTGGGTATTACTGCTTCCTAGTGTGATGTAAGCAGAAGGGCAGGACTGCTTTTGACTGCTTTTGTCTGCTTAGAGATGCAGCATTGCCATGGCTGGGTGTAATACCACCAGTAGTTAATTAAAATCAGCTCTGCTTGTCCTCCAAGACATCCAATTCCATAAAAAGCATGTGCTATAATCCTTTTTTTTTTCTTTTTTTTTTTTTTTTTCTTTCACATGTCTGCCTGTTAGGAAATAGCAAAATTATCCCCACGTTATACGGTGGATATTGAAGAATATCCACCAAGTTGTCCAAAAATTATTAAGACCATGAACAAAGTAGGAAGCTGAGATTCTTTAAGAACAAGTCCTGGTAATAAGACAGGAAAGAGAACAATGCCAAGCTATTTTACTGTGTGTGGGGGGGAGGGATTGTCCAGCAGTGTGCTTTGAAGATGAAGCTTCTGGGAAGGCTTCCCCACCCTTCACAGCTTAGAAGAGTGTCCTTTGCACAAAACTAACTCTCATGGTTCATGCTGTGAAAAGAGATCTAGCCTACTTTTCCAATACTAGGATTGGGCTTGAGATGCTGTGAGCTTAGCGTGCTGGTCACATATCCATATATTAATGCCATGTGGTGCCTTTGGAAGCTTCCTTTAGGTAAGCTGGGGACTGCCATCCCAAGCAGGTCACTTACAGAGCATGCTGTTTTGTGCTTGAATTTCACTTAACCAAACAACAACAAACTAATGTTCCTTCTGCTGAGTTGGTTGCTTTCTTCTCTCAGGTGCCACCACATAAGCCAACTCGGAGGAAACCACCATGCTCTCTTCCACTGTATTCCAACAAAACTGAGACAAGCCAGAACAATGGGCAAGTGAGTTATCAATTTAACCCAAGGACAAAGAATCTCTTCTCTGCAGTCTGTTCTGTCATGAGACAAAAGCTTGCAGATGGCACAGCGGTCAAGCTGTGCAGCAGAAGACATCGGTAATGCACCATCAAACCTTCCCATGCTTCCACACAGGCACTGACTCAGAATTAGCAGCAAATTGCTTCCAACTCTGGTAACACACAGACGCATCCCATTTCTACTGTTTTTGCTTTTAACCTTTTACTGACAGATCCACACAGTTACCACCTTTGAATTGTTTTAAAGCTGGAACTGCTAGCATTTATTACAGTTGAACACCATTTAGCACAGGGGACATCTCTTTTTTTTTTTTTTTTTTTTCTTTCTTTAGCTTCATATGAACATTGAAGGTTCAAATGTAGTGGCATAACAGTTCTGCTTTTCAGAAAAAAGGAATAATTAATCTAGTGTGAAGAGGTTTTCTTTCAGCAATGCCTGCAGAATATTGTCTTGAGGTGTCCTCCATACAGCATCCTTGAATGAGCAGATCCCAATAAGGTCTATAGAAGCTGGCAGCTACTCACCCAAGTTTATATTCAAGCCTTTTTCAGTCACTTCCGGCTTTCTGTAGTGTCAAAGTATGAGGTTTATCCACCAAATTTCATATCACTGCCTGCCCTTAAAGAAATGGTTCTTGAATGTTCTTTTCTGATAGCTACAGGCTCTTGTTGCTTCCATGCCAGAGAAACACAAACTTTGAAGTCTCACATTCCTTCCTTTTCCTACATACCTTCTCAAAGAAATACTCTCCCTTTCTCAGTTTTGAGCCTTTCATAGCTCAACCATTATGGCCACTTAGACTTTTCCTTTCCATACTAATTGGGTACCCTGCAACTGTTAGTTGAATGAGGGCAGAAAGTCTTTACCATTACAAAAAGTTTGTAACGTTTTACCAACATTAAGGCCCTGTTCCCTTTGAGAGGTAGAATTTTAATCTGTCCGATCCTCATATAGGGGGAAACTATATCATAGGTTACATACTCAATTCAAAGCCACATAGCAGCACCTAACTCAGACACTTCAGCCAAAGGACGATTACCTTTTCTCCCAAAAGGACACATGCATGTAGAGCCCTAAGATGTCTAGAAAGCAAAAGGGAAGTGTGGTTAGGAAAGAAGGAGGCAAACTTTTGTATGAATGCCTTATATGAGGTTTCATTTGCTTCCCTGCAAGAACTTCCATCTCTTCTAAGTTTTGTACCTTTTTTACATTTCCCTTTTCTCACCATGTATGGGAACTGCTGAGTCACAGCCTGAACCTCTGATTGATCACCTGAGGTGAGCCATGAGTCAGCCAGAGGAGCACAGGTGAAGGCAATTCTCCTGTGCTGCCGGAAGGGGTGGAGCCTGGCTGCACCCCTCCTAGACCTATTTAAGAGCTGGCTACCAGTGGGGGAAGGATCTTGTCTGGAGATCCCTCTTTCTGGTGTTTTGTGGTGAGCCCAGCATAAGGGTAAGCCTTCCATTTATTCTTTCTTGTTATCATAGTCCACTTTGCCTAACTCTCTTGTTTATTTTGTGATTGTGACATCTTGATATCCATTGATTATACACACCTACTTTAATGTGATCTTTTCATGTCTTCATTCTGTTTTGCAGAAGCCATCTCCAAATGCTTGTCCCATTCCCAAAGTCAAGGTGAAAAGCTCTCCCATGATTGAAAAGCTACAGGTAGGTCCTGGAAGAGCCCATATAGCTGCCCCAGCAAATTAAAACTGCTCAGAGCCACTTCCCTTGCAGAGGAGCCACAAAGAAAGAGGATCCAGGAGTTGGGGGTGACAGCTAGATAGGAAGGGCAGTGGTCTCACCAACGAGGGCCCAAACCCACAATGCATAAACAAGGAGGGCAGAGCAGATCTGCTAATGGGTAACCACTGTCAGTAACGCTGTCCTTGGGCATGAGCATTGGTTGATCAGTATGGAGCACAGGATCATTGTACTGGATCTGTGGCATATAAGGCATCACTTTAAAACCAGCTCATAAAAGAGAGGAGGAAAGCTGTGGCTGAGCCTTCCTTCAGCTCTTTCTCCACAGCAGTTTAAACCACTTGTATGTCTCAGGGAGTTGACCTGGAGCAAAGACAGACAAAGTCCTGTGAGTGAACAGTGCCCTTGGGTCTCTGGCACTCCCTAAGACTGCCTAGAAGCTCTGTTCTTTCCTTGCCTCAGTTCCCTGAATTACACACAAGCAGCCTGCGCTTCCTGTCCCTTTTGTCTCTTGGTGGTACCTGATTCATGCCACTGAGGACAGCTCAATAGCCCAGAGACGTGATGTCCTTCCGTTGCCAGCTGCCACTCCTGGCAGCATGTGTGACTTCTGGACATAATGTCTCCTGAGCACCCCAGCGCAATGCAAGCCTATTCATAGCAGTGTCCCTGTTAATGCACCCAAGGACATTCGCCTGCAGAACTTCTTCATAGCAGGCTAGCACAAGGTGCTTTGCCACAGTTAATCACAACCTTGTTTCTTCCTATGGCCTTCTCTCTCCTCATGGCTGCACAGATCATTCAGAAGACCTGCAGACCAACCTTGAAAATGTGAGGTCTGCTTGGGCACAGACAGGGATGGTTTAAATCTCAATCTGATCACTGACTGCTTGTTGATACCTTGGCTCAGCCACTGTACACTGTGCTGGCTTGGCTGGGTCACTGGAAAATCCCCAAAGTCCTTAGGATGACAAAAGAACTCATCTTGAGATCCAGCTGTTGGGGAAGGGCAAATGTTCAGTCATAACTCCTCTGCCCGGACTTGTTTGTTGACAGTGTCACCAGGAGAGACCCATAACCAGAAGGTATGTGGGCTGTGACAGCTGAAATGTGGTGGCCCGGCAGTGTGAGCAAGGGTTCCTCCACGTGGTTAATGCATGTATTACACAGCGGTGTCACCCACAGTAGTGACGGGAATTTTTCTTTGCAGGCCAATCTGGCTTTTTCGCCAGCAGCTCTGCTGCCGGGAGCATCTCCCAAAAGCCCTGGTCTGAAAGTCATGGTTTCTCCGTTCAGCACCCCTCCCTCAACGCCCAGCAGCCCAGGGATCCAGCCGCAGTCCAGCGAAGCAAGTGAGACACCGGTCAGCTTTGATAAACCTCCAGAAGGCACTCAGCTACAATTCTATAACAAGGTAGGGCATGCTCTAGTTCTCCACCACAGCAGGATAAAGTTTGTCTGTTGCTTGCAGCTGAGGAGGAAAGGGAGGCTTTAGCCCTCAGTCCTGCCATAACAGCGTGCCTTTGTAGCCAAGTCAGGAGATCTAAGTGCTGAGTTTGAATCAGCTTTTGGTGTAGTTCTGTGGATCTTCTCTCTACCTACCAGTCCATAGGATTTTGTGGGCCAGTGGTTCCAGCAGCTTTCATGGCCCCATAGCTATAGAGAAGGGGTAAGGTGTAAGGATTCAATTATTTCAGCTCAGCAATAAGTGGGTGGCTGATAGCTGGGCAGGGAGCACCATGAGGAAATGGTGCCACATGCCAGCAAATGTCAAAGGTGGCTAAGATGCTGTTTGTGGAGCCCTGACAGTCTGCCCAGGTGTTCCACAGAGTGTACAGCACGTAAATGAGGAGCTGTAACCTGCATTCACCAGCTTCCTCTGGAGCGCAGACTCCTTCCTCAGCCACCAAACTGCAAAAAGCTGAAGAGGCTGAAACAACCAATGTCAGCAACACCTGCACCATGAAATCAGCTTCTTTGATTTAGAGTTTAACTTGGACAAACTCACAGTTAACACTGGGACAGTGATCTTCAGCATCAGCTCTATAGAGAGAAAGAAGGTTATATTTTGGGGAGCTGCTTATCCTTCAGCAATAGGCAGTCCTTCCTCCCTACCTCTCAGTAGCAGAGCAGGAAAACCAGCGCAGCGATCAAGTTTTCCCCAGCATTTCCCTCTATTGTGCTTTCCTGCTTTCCAGTACTGTTCTTTGACTGCTTCAATTTCTGCTTTTCCTGCCTCAAGGTGCGGACGAGGGGATCAATAAAGCGTAGGCCTCCCTCCAGGAAGTTCCGAAGATCTCTGTCCGACTATGGAGATGGGGAAGATTTAGGGAATATCATTCCCTCTCCAGAAAATGGTACCAAAGAAGATGGGGATGAGGTATTTGAGCATAAAGGCAAGACAGAGGAAGCAGAAACAGGGAACAAAGAAATAAAGAAACAGACAGTGTCTGATGAGAAGCCCCCATCGAGGAGAGGATCCAGCATATCAGACAGTGAAGACAAAGAGGAAAAGCAAGTGGAAGAAGTGACTCCTTGCAAGAGTAACACAGGAGATACAGAAAAGGAGGAGGAGGTGTGTTGTGGTGCTCCAGGAGGGAACAACTCACCCCAGTCACCCTCTGAAGACAAGGAAGATAAGGTGTGTGAGGCTCTTCAGGAAAAAGAGGAGGAAGGTGGTGCCTGTGAACAGGAAAAGGGAGACAAAGAGAAGGAGGAAACTGAAGAAAAGGAGACCAGTGAGAACACAGTCACACGAAGAACGTCAGACACTGAGGAAACACCACTGGCACCTCAACCACTGCAAGAGGCAGTGGGTTTAGAGACTGCCAGTGAGCCTTTAACATCAGCCATGCAGGAGCAGGGCACTGAGTAGCTGTAATGCACATTAGGTAAGTATTGCCAAAATGAGAATAGCTCCTAAAATATCAAAAGATTTTGCTTACTGATAAAAATGCCAAGTGTGATAGAACATGCCAATATTTATGCTGCTTCCCACACCTCAAGATTATCAAATCTCTGCAGAGTCTTCAAGGCAGTACACTTAAACAACCAGTCCTCCTGGCTGGTGCTACAGAAAGAAGGGATAAAGAGGCAGAGAAGGAACAAACAATTCTGGCTGCAGTACAATGGAAGAGGCTCTCTGATGCTAGGCACCCTACCCAACTGCTGTTTTGAAAGCAGTTTGAAAGTAGAAACCATGCATATACTAACTCTACCTTGTATGTACAATTTCTGTATGTTTCCCTACATGTATGTATTTTTATTGTTGTGTGCACACATTGTATAGATACATGCATACATATACATACACCATATTTATAGATATGTATCTTGTTATCCTGTTAGCTGTGCCAACAAAAATACACTCATACCAGTTTCATAATCAGCCCTGCAAGCAGCCTCTGTGAGCCTCCACTGCTTGAAATAGAAGAATATTTCCACCGACTTACTCCATATAGCTTTTTCCTTGTTCTCCAGCCACTGACTACATAGCCACAGGGATCTGAGGAAATATCTTTCACCTCAGCCAGTCCCCTTTTCAAAAGTATCCTTGGTTTGGGCAAGGATTGACTGAAAGAGGCAGTCTAGCATGGAAGCCACCAAAGTACCCCAAGTCACAGATTCCCCACTCATGTGTTTACTTAGACTTGCTCATATTTTTCATCATTTTTTTTTTTTGCTTTTCCTTCTCCAAAAGACGTACCCATCCAGGACACAGGAGATGATGTGTGAATAGGAACCATCTAACTTAATCAAGGTGGAAGCTACTGGAAAACCTTCAGTGGCAGGAGAGGAGCAGAGTACAGATATCCCCCGAGGTCCAGACTGATCCCAGAGCTGAGTGGCTGCTCACCAGCTCTCTGCTTTGCACCATCATATGTTGTGACAGTCAGAACAAGAGACTGCCTTACAATCACTTGGGAGTACAAAACTGAGGTGCTGGCTGACATCCCAAGGTGGTAACTGGAGACTGAGAGACCTGCTTGCTATGTGCTGTCCTGGACCTGGCAGCCACCGCCACTCCTGGGCCCTCTGTTCCTTATTCCTGCTGAGCTCCAGAATGTCATTTTATTCTCCTCTGCATTGGTCTTAGGTGAAGTTCATCACTTACATGCGTATGTCTATGGTGCCTTTTCAATAGCTTTTTTTTTTTTTTTTGAAATATCTTGGGTTTTCAAATGTCAGTAAATAATGTTTTAATAGTGGGGAAAAAAGTGTGTATTTTCTCCATATATGTTAATACAGACAATGTGAATCCTGAATATCGGAAAATCTCCTAGGAAATTGTTCATAAAGCATAAAATGCCTTTGAAGTGGGGGCTGAGCTGGCTGATCTGTGAAACATCCAGTCATTGTTGGTGGGCAGTTTTTGTGTACTTCAACTTTGGAGTGATTTTAGTGCTGGTGGAAAGTAACAGTGAACAGATACGATGCACAGAAAAGATGTGGTGTGTAGGTCAGCAGGGCAAGTTCTCTTACCCAATGCTGTAGTCCAGTTCTGATTTAGAAGGGCCACCTGTCCCTCAGTCCTTTTAACTTCCAGATACTTTCCTCCTGGTAAATATTAAGCTGAGCAGAGTCGGAGGTTCATGCTGTCCCTCTTCTATGGGCAGGCACAAGGATTTAACACAACACAGCCCACATCCTTCCTGCACTGGGCTCTGAAGTATAGCACTGTTACAAAACCCAGGGTTTGGAGGGATGTCCCCTTTCTGTTCACCAACACTAAAATCACAAAGGAAGAAATGCTTCTATGCCTTCCTTTCTTTTCCTCAAATGAGAGCACTGAGGGGTTATCTGTCAAGAGCCAACCGTGTTGGCCCTGGTACACAGAATGGGCTTGTTGGCAAACATGACCCCTGTGCGTCCTTTTGAGCCATGTTGCAGAGTATTGTGGCCTTTGGACCTTTTATAACGTGTTTGTTAAAGCTTGTATTCCAGGGCAGGCTGCAATCATTTGCTGTATCCTGTTTCCTCTCTCAGCAGCGTCCTACCTGTGAGTGACTGTGCCTGACTGTATATATCAATTCATGTGTGCCTGTTTAGAGAATGAGCATGTGTGTCCCAAGCAAGGGAGTGGAAATCTGAGGGAGAAACAGAAGAAATAAACGGTGGAATAAAAACAAAACAGAACAAAATATGTGTCTTTTCTCACGGGTCAATGTAGGAGCCTGAAGCAGCAGGCAATGTTAGCACAGGCTGCATGCAAACCTCACACTCAGCCCTTCTACAGGCTGAGTGAGAGCAATTCTGGAAAAAACTCTGGCCAGTACCACGACACTGCAAAAGACTGTGGGTGGGTACATGTCCCTGCCGTGTCCATGCTGCCAGAACACACCAGCTTCGGCCCACAAATGGTGGTGTTGTCTTCCATCCTTCAGTTGTGTAGGCTCTGAGCGTTTTGATGAAGTGTAGGCTTGGGGTTGTGAGCTGACTGGAGCCCCTCACACCCAGAGATCCGGCAGATTACCGAGGCAGGCGTGTACAGAAGCAAAGGTAAGGACGAGCATAGGCAAATAGCAGTAAGTGGCGACAGCGGAAGGAAATCCCTGACGATCTTTCAGACCGTTGTTTTGCCCGCCCGGGGAGGAGATATCAACACCCTGGCAGCTGCCGGCAGGGTTAAACCACGGCTACAGGGGGGTAGAAGCTCCCTCCCTTCGCTGAGAATGAGCTCGCCGGGCTTCAAGCCCCCCCAGCTCGGCCAAATTCGGAGCGAGGGGGGGTAAGCAGCACCAGGTGCCGCAGCTCGGCGGAGAAGCGGCGTGGGCGAAGGGCGAACGGAATCAGAGGCAGTCAGAAGGGAGGGCAAGGCACAGCGCAGTACGAGAACAGCCGTAGGGGGAATGGCCACGGGCGAGAGGCGGAGGAGATGAGTCAAGTGTTCAGCTGGGGAAAACTCAACAGAGAGCGGCTCGTTGGTCTAGGGGTATGATTCTCGCTTCGGGTGCGAGAGGTCCCGGGTTCAAATCCCGGACGAGCCCTCTAGCAAGGGAGGGATTATTTCCTCCTATTTTTGTCGCCGCAGCGCTCCGCAGTGTTTTTGTTGTCTTGGCCGTCCCGCGACGGATAAGCAGAGCGGAGCGAGGTTGCGGGGCGCATAGGGCTGCGGACGGGGCAGTGCCAGCGGTGAAGGGAGGCACTGGGGAATGAAGGGGCGAATGCGGGGGAGCCAGGCTCACAGTGGTGGAGGGAGGGAGGGCAAGATCGCTTTCCTCGTTAGTTGCTCACGCTAATTCTGTTCTTGGAATGCAACACTGCGTCGGTCCTCCTGCTGCTCTGCGCGGCGGCAGCCGCTGTGCGCGCAATGCACGCGGGGCTCAGCCTGTGCAGCAGCCGTCAAGTGGGTGGGTGCGGAACGGCAAGGAGGCGTGGATTAAAAAATAAAGAAAAAGAAAAAAAAAAAGCGGGCTCGTCCGGGATTTGAACCCGGGACCTCTCGCACCCTAAGCGAGAATCATACCCCTAGACCAACGAGCCACCGCGGAAGAAGTTTTCCTACCATCACACAAGAATGACTGACCGAAGGCGCCCTGCCTGGGTGACTTGTTGCAGTGGCCGTTCGTTGGTGGCTGTTGGAGGTGCTGCCAAGACTGAAGGCCGCAGAAGACTCTAATTCAGTCATCGTGATCTGAAAAAGCAGACCCGGTGCTCTCCCACGTGCTCTCTGTTCTGACCAGCAGTGCTGCTGCTTGGTGAGCTGGGTCATCGCACAGCTTCATCTGGCCAAGCCATGCTATGTTGGTCGCTCTGGAAGTAATGGCTCCTATTTATTTCCATGGAAACTACGACAAATATAAAGGACACACAATAACACTAATTGATAGAGCAAATTCTCAGCTACAAAAGCTGTTTTTCAACATAGTCACTGCCATTAGCTATGCATATTTGCCAGCAATGAACAAGAGCCTGCATGTCGTGCTTGTAAAAATCTGCTCCAGCAAAAGTGACCCACTGTTTCACAGCTGCTATGCTGGCATCGTTGCTAGGAAAACGTTGCCTACGCAGTCCATCTTTCATTGTACTCACATCCACTGTTTGGTCTCCAGAAACATCCAGCAAGCATCATTGAATGTCAGTGGGTGTCATTTTTTCCTCATGGAGAAATTCAGTGCTTTGCTCCACGTGCATTTTCATGTCAGATGCCATTGTGTCAGTCTGCCCCTCTGCTGCCATCGCATGGCAACAACATGTATTGGAATATCGGTGGGCAGATTCTACCTCTACTGCTAAACCTCCAACATATGCCTCTGACGTGGGACAACATACTAAAGTAGGAGCTGTTGCTCTTGACACAGTCCTCATATACAGAGAACTCATGAACTCCGTGGAGGAGAGTAAATTAGAAAGGAACAGGGTCTGATTTTTAAACACTTCGGGTTATCTACCTTGGAAAAATGCCTGGAAAGAGAAAGTTTGGGCCATTCAGGGGTCTGAATGTAAAGCAGTGGGTATTAATGTCATATCTTCTGTGGCAACGAGTACCTTCAGCCACCGAGCAGAGCTATAACCCATCCTGACTTTCTAGGAAACTTCCCCAACGGTTAGCTGAGGAACACACTCCAGAGCTTTCCTCAGGGCACGGATTATGAAGGCACAAGCTAATGACGTTTGCAATCCCAGGAGAGCCGTGGGCCTCCTCCCCGAGCGGCTGTAGGAAGGTGCACACGGGCACAGTGCAGATCAGGAGCCCTGCGTCTATATTTTAGGCCTGGGAAGTCTCACGTGTGTGGTGAGCAATAGTCTTGTGATCCGGCTTGGAGCGTGTGCAACTTCATTAAAATACAACTGGCATTTTCAGGTTAAATGCAAACGCGATTATCCTGCTGGCAGCCAGAAGGGCCGCGGAAGCAGCCCGCGCTGCAGGCAAGGCGTGCCGGAGCCGGCTCTCCCAGCCGGCAGGGTCTCACCCCGACCACCCTCCTCCGGCGGACCGGGAAGCAGCGGCCAGACGTCGCCGCGCTGCCTATCGAAGAGAGTGCTGCTGGGTGCCCGCCCGGCTCCTTTCACGGGTTTTGGCCACTGGGCGCTCAGCTTCCCGGCACGCACCCCGGCGCTCCTGGCAGACCCGTCCCCGCCCTACCCGGGTGCGGCCGCACCCGCACCGCGCCGGGATCGGCGCCCTGGCGGCACCGCCCGGCAGGGCGGGGAGAGCAGGTCACGTGCCCGGCTCGGGAGGCGGGACGGCGCGCTTCCATTCTGGATTGGGAACTGACATTTGACGGATCGGCATTTTGACCAATCATTGACAAGAAGCGGGGCGGGGACGAGCTGGCCGCGGGAGGTGTGTGCGAGTGACAGCGTCGAGGCCCTATCCCAGCCAGGGAAGAGGGCCGCGAGGCGCGAGGGGGAGGGCCGGCGGCCGGGGGCGGACAATGGGGGCGCGGGGAGGTGGTGGCAGGAAAATGGCAGCGGCCGGAGGCACCATGGGACGTTCGGCGGCTGTAGTTGCCGCGCGGCTGCCGCTCTCGGCCTGCCTGCTGGCCGCCGCCGCCTTGTTGGCTGCCGGTGAGTGAGGGACGGGTATCGTTTGTCCCTCTGGGGCTGCGCCCGCGGCTCGAGCTGATCTGGGGGACGGTGGGAGAGCTGTTCTCGCGGACGAGGCGAGGCGAGGGAGCCGGCGGCGGCTGCGGGCGCCGACCGCCCTCCTTCGCGCTGGGAAGCGGGGCGGCTCGGCCCTGTGGCACGGCCGATTCCCCGTGGGCAGGGAGCGGAGGGTGCCGGGGCGAAGGGCCGGCCGCGCCCGCCGGGAAGGCCCCGGAGCGGGGAAAGCTCTGGCCGGGGTACCGCGCTGCCCTGCGGCTAGGTAGAGGCGCTCCCGCTCTTTAAACGCCTTCCCTGCTTGTCGCTGGTGGGCTGATAGCGCGGAGGGCCGTCCTGAGAGCTGCCCCAAACGGCCGAGGAAGACGCTCGGTTTAAAATCCACCTCCTCTGGCTTAGCTGCCAGAGGTTTTTGAGGTGGAGGTTTCTCCAACCTTGTGTGTTTTCTGCACGAATTTGCCACTTCTTCTCCCAGATGAAAAGCGAAATGTCCAGTGTGGATGGGACCGTGTGGCATTCAGGCATGTCGTTTCCTTGCAAAAGGCGAAGAGTCAGTCATCGCTCTGCAGATGTAGCCGGAGCATCTCAGAGCAGCGCTGTGCTGCTCACATAGATGCCAGGTCTGCCAGGGTCCAGCGACGTGGCGTGTGGCGACCATGATGCACGTCAGCCTCTCTGGTTCGTGTTTTTGGTTGCACAGTCATGGGACACCTGTCCTCTTTGTTGAGGGAGGACACAGTGGAATGGGAAGGTGAGCAGCATCTGGGAAGCCAGAGTTGTAGGAAACAACTTAGAAAGCACCTTTTGTGTTTGGTCAACGGTGAAATATTTGGGTGGAGCAGTAATGACATAAGCCAAAATCAAGTGTTTGTGAATGGGGAGTAAGTACACAGCTAATATTGGAGTGCTAGTAATGGCAAGGATAAAGCATAGCTTTGCTGCGGCATACATACTGATGGGGTAAATTGTTCTGTGTTTGCCATTTAATTTTGAAATAAAAACAAGCAACTTTCCCAAAGCAGCTGTGTGCGTGCACAGAAGGGATGCACCAGTGTTTGTGTGCCACCTGAAAGTGGCTTTGCTTGGTAATACTTAGTGGTTGAAACTGTGCAAAGGAAGTTAGTAGCAATCTCTAAAGAAGGCTGTTGTCTATTCGTATCTGGAAACTTCTGGGAAAAAAAAAAAAACAAACCTGCAAGTCTGAGGATCTGTGCCCAGTGGTGAGGAACTTCCTTCCAAATGGCACTGCACTTTGGCTGTTGTTTACCTAAACTTCTGCATTTTGCAGTAAGTGTAAGTAGAGATTGCTAAGGCTTGCTGTATGCATTCAGAGGCAGCGTAATACTTGGAATGAAGCTGAATATATAGCTTAGAGTAAAACTTAGTTCTTTGAAAACAAATATGGAGACAAAAGAAAAAAGGGCACATACTTCCCCTGACCACAACAAAAGGTAGAACTGCAGTAATGCTCTGGGAAGCTCAGAGAAAGAGATCGCTGCAGTGCATGAAGTATGTAACCAAATGCAGTATCTTAGAGGCAAGCAAAGGTGCAAGATATTCTTTTGAAGGAGATCTTCCCTAGGGTGGGTGGGTAATGCAAGATAACAATTTAAAGGATTAAATGGATGCTAAAACAGCTATTTTATCTGTGTTGGACAGTGATTCTGTGCCTATTATATATATATATTCAATATAAGTATTTCAAATCAGAAATTACTCTCATGTTGGCTTCTCCTCATGCTTATACCACACACAGTTAATCCTCTGTTTTCTTTGAAAATACTTTCTTTATTTTTTTCTTTTTTCTTCTTCTTAAGTGTGGAGTTGATACAAGGTTTGTATCCTTGCAGGGGGGTAAGAGCTATGTTGCAAGCTGTTCTGTCCACTTGGATATCCAAGGTAATTAGCTGATTGGTACTGAGAAGATGACCTTCTCCAGGGTTTAAGGGTGTAAGCAGTCATGTGTAGCAGTCTGCCTTTCTGCTCCCATGTGTTGCTTCACTTCCTGCAGTTTAGCAAGAATTTTTTTTCCTTCCTTTTTCCTTGAGCTGAATTTTCATTTTATGGGAAACTGAGAAGTGAGACTCCACCAAGCAAGTGGAAGGGCAGAAGTAACTTTCTGTTCCGTGTTGTTGCCACTTGGTTACCCAGACGTGCTATGTGGCTGGGGAGTGTGCTGCACAGTTAGCTGCTGTGGTTTGTGGCTCTTCTCCCTCTTGATATGCTTGGTGGCCAATAACCTGCAGTGAGGCAGAAATGTTACTAAGTGGGATGTGTTGTACAGGCTGAGTTTAACATCATGGTCTGTTTTGTGAGGCCAAGCATGTAATTGTTGCTTCATGGCCAAATCCAGACAACAAGTGTTAGGCTTATTTTCTTGTGTGCAGCTGCAGGTGTGCATTGGAGTTTGTCCCATTTGTTTATGCTTAGTCATATGAAGACTCGGTTGCTTCCTTGTAAAAATGAAGGATTGTTCCCAAATGTTTTGTGATTCTGTGGACATTTGTGGCATGAGTAGTGAATCTAGGTATTATATCTTGTATGGTGGGTGAGCCTAGAGCAGCTAGCCGGAGCATCAGGGAAACAGATTATCTTGGAATCCTCAATTGGTAAGCCATGTAAGTAATCACTTAAAGTGAGATCTGTCTTGAACACAAGGGCAGTCAGTGCCTGATTACTTCTGAAAGTCTTGAAGAATGTCTAGATGCTACTGGAAAGAGTGTTAGTTTTCCTAGCATTCTTTCTCATGCTGACAAAGTCTGATTTTTTCGCTCCTTGTCTCTTACTGCTCCTTGTACCCACTCACACGTGTGCACACATGCACATACACACAGGTCAGTATAACAAGCAGAGGAGTACTGGGATGTTAAATACCTCTGGCATCTATCATTGCTTTGAGCTTACCTGCATATTTCAGTTGCTTCTTGAAATGTTTTACGAAAATAACAGTGCAAATCAGGGTTGCAGTGCTATCTTCATGCTTGTGCCAGGTTTAGTCAGGATTGTTGTGTTCAACCAGTCAGAAGCAGTTAGTTCTTTCAAACAGAGCCCACTGATGCTGTAGGTAGGAAGGCTTCCTTGCTTGCAGCACTTACTTGGTTTCTGCAAAGGGAAGAAGTGCTAAGGTGGGAAAACTCTTTGCTAGCTAGGTTGAAGGTGAGACTACTCCTCAGATTACCTTGCTTGTAGCAGCAATAAGTTTTTGAAGAAGTTGAAAATATAGGTTAATGTTTTAGTAATAGAATGTGGCTTGTAAGATGTCCAGGTTTCCCTTGACCCCAGCCTCCCAGTCCTCTACCTCTTTGTAATGATGCATACAACCTTTTCACTTGCTGTCTAACTTGAAGTAGATTAGGGAATGTGTTATTCATCTATTGCACTGTGTGTCAGGGGCCTTGTCTTATCCTGACTGGGAACAGTAGCTGTGAGCGCCTGTGTACTGTACAGGGTACCATCTGGTTTTACAAGGCAAACATGCTGACAGGTTTAAACTGAAAGACTATTGAATCAAGATATCCCAGTAGTAAATCAAAAAGTGTGGAAACTTTTTACATTCTTACAGTGTTGGCTATTGTCTTTTTTTTCTTTTTTGAGCTTTGCTTATCTTCTTAGTGGGCTGGTCTAGATTAGAATTACACTGTGCATAGTGACTAGTGCAATAGAAAGGATACTGAATTCTTGTGTAAGCGGAAGCTGTGACAGGAGAGGATAAGAAGGTCTGAACTGATAGGGAATTCAAATTGCAGTGATTTATGTTTATCTTAGAACAACAGCCATTTAGCAGAGCAAGTATTTACTTGGTATGGCGTTTCACAGTATGCTGTACCCGTACCCATACTTCAGTCGGGCAGTCTCTCCAGTGATTCCTTTCCACCTTCATCACTTTAAAGTGATCAGATCAGTCTGCTAGCTGACCTAAAAAAGCCCGTTTTGTAGGTGATTACATCAAGTCACATGTATGTTGTTCCCTTCTACTGCTGCGTCTTTCAGCTTCTGCATTTTTGTCTTCACTGTTGGGTTAGCAGTTTCCAGTTTGTGCTGCTCTACCTTTTGCCTTGAAATGCATGAGGAGAACAAGAAAGCTGATTGTCATATGAATTTCTCCTTCCAATCTGGCAGAACATGCTTTGCAGTACATTTGCTGGCTCTTAATACACATAATGTTAAGTGGGGCTAAGGAAGCTTGATGGATATACTTGAGGTGGGTCAAATCAATAAATGTGAATTTAGGTGAAATAGCCAGTGTAGGAGATCATCCTCAATTGTCTGTTTCCCATCAGTTACAATTTTTGGTAACTTGTTTTTCTAACGTACTGAAGTGAAATATGGTGAACAGGGCTCTCTTGGTAATAAATTCTATAAAGCTGCATATGTAACAGAACTTCCAAGATCTAATTGGCTAATGCATCTTGGAATTTTCCATTTGTTTCGCTCTTCCAGTGTGGAAGGTGAAGAGCTGTTGGCTGTGTGGTGATGCTGCATACCCTAAAGCTTGACAAAGTCAGCACAGGCACGGGTGAAAGTGCTGCCTTACTTGGAAGGGTTGTCTCTAGAAGTGCTTTGGTGTAAACTGAGAAAGTGCTATAGAGAGAGGGAGCAGCAAAGCCATCAGCACTTCCAAAAGAGAAGTCTTCCTCAGGCAAGCTGTCTGAAGCAGCTGCTAGTCATTTCTTCCTAATCTTACACAGTCACTGTTGTGCAAACGTGGTGAATAGTGAACTGGGTTAGGGTGTTGGTCTGGTTTAAAGGAAAACAATAGAAGAAATGCTTTTTTGAACATGAGCTAGTTCCTGGTCAGATTCATCATGTTACATCACAAGCGGGCATGGGAGCTATTTAAATTGGCACCATCAGTGACAAATTCTTGTGAAGCAAGAATTACTTGAAAATATGTAGCACCAGTTTTTTTTCTTTTGGTTTTGTAGTCACGCTGACACAGGTTATAAGTAGTTATTAGCTTACCGAATTTGCCACCAAGTTTGGTTAGCAAGTAGTGAAAGATTAGGGTGAGCAAGCATCAGTGGAGGTGGTACAGGATAGAGTCTGCAGAGAGCTTTAAGTTTGCTCGAGCTATTGAAAGTAAGTCTCCCGTCATACCAGAACAGATTGGCCTTGTCCAATCCTGCTAGCTGCAGGTTGGTAATCAGTTGGATGACTTAGTTTCTGTGCTGCTAGTGCTAGATTTTCTCAGAGTATCAGCAGTTCACAACATGGTTGTGTTTTTATTTCTTAAAACCACCTGAATACCATTTCATTTCAACTGTACTAGTACCTAGTGCTGACCTAGAATGGAGGCAGTTGTTCCAGCCAGTGACAAATACCTTTGCTGTCTGTGCCTTGAATTCTCTTTATTTCCAACTTCTGATCCATAATATTGTATGTTAGTAGACATTGCGACAGTTTTAGTGGATTGCTGTAATAATTCTAAGAAATGTTTGTGATGATGGGATTCTTTCTTCAATATCTCTGTCACATGTTGAGCATATGTACTCAGTTTCTCTCAGTTCTGTAGTTAAACAAACTTAAAGTTCTTTTTTTGTGGGAGAAGACCACTGTGTTTCAAGGAGACTCTTTTAAGGTATATTGTTTATCTTGTTCTCTGTTGCTCTTCTTTAATCTTAGTTCCTATTTTCATGAGCCTTTTCTTGTGTGCAGGGATAATCTGCTGTGTTTGCTAGCAGCTGTGTTAGTATTGCATGATTAGAGGTAAAATAGTTGTTATCAGCTGTTCCAGATACCCTTTGCACATTAAGTAAGTTTACTCGTCTCTTTAGGTCTTTAATTGTTTCGGTTTGACTTGGTCAACAAAAACTGTTTACTTGAACTTGAACTCCTGTAAACTGAGTTGGTAACGGAAGGAAAACCACGTAAGGTTGGAAAGCGTCCCACTCTCTGGCATAGGCAGGGAAGTATATTGCCTTGTGATCCGTGGGGAAAAATTACTAGAGTGGGGCTAGATGTTATCGCCTTCTATGCTAAATACGGATCTGCCCAAACCTGACATATGACTGGTTGTGTAACTGTGGAACATGAAGCGGTTCAACAGCAATACTTGTTTGTGGAACTCTGGGCCTTCACAAGCATCTACATTCTTATACTTTCCAAGTTGAGGGAGTGGTACAGTAGAGAAAGAAATCTGTGGCCTATCTTGCAAGGGAGCTCAGGCACTCTGCTGTTTCTCATGTCCATAGTTGCTTGTTACAAGTGTGATCTGGAGATGTAAATCTGGCAGGAGTTCTTCTGCTGCCCCTTTGTGAAATAACGTACAGCTCTGCATAATATGAAAGAAACTACCCGAAAAACCGAGCTTGTAGAAGCTGGTACCAATGCGACTGTAAGACTTGTCTGTAAGTTCTGTCAAATAGGTACACAGAGATATGCAGGGCAAAGTGACACAGTTATTGACAGCTTTGACAGTGTTACTGCAGCCTGCCTAAGGCTTTCAGCAAAACCTTATTTCTTCCACTTGAGATAAAATGCAGTGATTTTTCGCTTTTTCTCTTATCTTTGAGTCAGGCAGAGCCCAACTCTCTGTGCAAAGAGGCCAACAGAAAGCGAATGTGTTAGTAGCTGTTCTTCTGGGCCCATATCTGCTTGGGGGATGATCATTCATTCCCAGCAGCAAGTCAGTGGTAGTAGGTGTTCATAGGCAAGGTGTCAGCAGCATTTCTGCTGCTCAGAGCTGTTAGGGTGCCACAGGACTGGCTGTGCTACCAAAGGCAGGAAACCCTCTTTAGTGCATTGAAGTACTTGCTGAGAAAGGAAACCTGAGAAACTGCTGCAGCACTGGTTTTCTGGTGGTTGATGATTCAGAGTAGAGCTAGATGGTTCTCCCCTCCTTTGGGGCAGCTGCACTTAGTCTTTGCTGCTTTGAAACTTAGGCATTAGGAGTGGTTGGTATGATTTTTGTCTGGTCATCCTTTCTGTAGCTGATTTTGCTCTGTGTTCTGTATGAATATATTGAGTATTCTGTCCAGATTTGGGCTAGAGGCTACCATGCTGCTGTGTGAGGTAAGGCCTGGCCCAGCAGCCAACAGGGCAATGCTTTGGGTGCAGCTTGGGGAAGAAAGGGCAGAACACCATCTGGCAGGCAGGGGACAGGGGCGCAGAGTGAAAAACTGCCCTGCAGGCACCTGAGGAAGAGAAGGCAGAGGAGGTGCCACAGGCATTGGAGCAGAGATGCCCCTGCAGCAAAAATTGTGGAAGAAAGTATGATGGAGCTGGTATTTCCCTACATCTTATGGAGGAGACCATGGAAGAGGAGATATCCACATTGTGGCCCACAAAGGAGTGCATGCAGAAGCAGCTTCTCCTGAAGAATCACAGCCCGTGGGAAGGACCTGTGCTTTTATTGGGGGAAAAAGTGTGAGGAGGAGGGAGTGGCAGAGAGAAGCCATTATGGGTTGATGGTAAACCTTCTATCTGCCACAGGCTGCATGGGGGGGGGGAGAATTGGAAATAAGTGAGTGAAAGTGAGCTTGATGTTTTTATTTTTTTTATTTTTTTATTTTTCTCCTACTCACAATCCATCTTTTAATACAATTTATTGCAAATTAAAATAACTTTCCCCAGGTCAAATGTGTTTTGCCTGTGATAGTAAATGGTAAGTGATCATCCTGTTTTTATCTCCACCCATGAGCTTTTTCATCTTATTTTCTCCCTCTGTCCTATTTGGTAAGCAGGAGTGAGAGATTGGGTGTCTGGGAGCCAGGTAGGTTCAACCCAACAAAGTGATGTGCAATAATATGTATATAGGATTATACATGCATATATGCATTTTTATATCTATACACTCAATGAGACTTCAGGTAACACCATGATGGATTTCTGGTGTGGAGGTGATTGGGCAGTCTGTTCTTTCTTATACCAAGGTATATGGCTTCTTAATATTTGTATGTTCTTCTTAGGAAATACAGCATGTTTTACTATTGGCTGGAATGGCCTACATGGATTTTTCTTCTGTGTTAAGACTAAACTGCATCAATGAATTCTTCATGTGGAAGTTTGATCCCACATCTGGTTACTTCAGCAGACCTCAGAGGAGTTATTTGGGCTTGTCTGCTCCTAGCTGTTGAGACCATCAAAGATAGGATTGCTCCAGCACATGTCTTATTGAAAAGGAGGTAATGATAGCCTATGGAGAAATAGGTGCCTATAATTGTAGCGGGGAAGTATAACTTTGAGCTGCCTTTCTCAAACATGTTGTAGGGAGCTGACTGCTGTTGTTTCTTGCTGGTTGTATGTGAAGACGTTTTAGTACGAGGAATAACTAAATGTCATGAAACTAGTTTGAGAGAGATGTCAACAGTGGACTATGTTTCACAATGGCGTTGTTTCTTAATGAAAACACTCTTTAGCAAGTGTGTATCGTTTTTTGTGACTTATGACCTCCTAATCACTAGAAAATCTCACATCCTCTTTTCCTCCTGGAAAATTACAGCTGCTAGTGAAGCAGTTATAAACATACAGATATGTTGACTTATTTTGGTTTTATCAAGACCTTTAAATGTGAGCTGTTGAGTCTGCTGTATTAATGCATCCATTCCTATCTTCTTGATTCATGGCTCTGTTGTCAACTTGTTACCTGTTGCAGCCTGCCTGAATTTTTAAAAATCCTTCTTTCATCAGACTTTTTGATTATTTCCTGATCTTTCATCCATAAGAGAAATTATTTATAATTGAAACTAGACATCTTTAAGATAAATGAAGCATTAATTTGTAAACTGATGACTAGTCATTTCAGGAGGAGGGCAACGTATTTCAGAAACTGTCGCATCTATTGGTGGTCTGATAAAAGTTTCCACTTAGACTGTATTAGTACTTGTGGAATAAAATGCCTATGATTACAGCTTTAGTTTGTGTTGTAATTTTGTTGGCACTCCTAATGATCAAGCTGAGTTGGATCCAGAGGAATCAAGTTTATTTTGGTGTGTTCATAGCCTTAATTAACAGAACTTTTTCATTGGGTCGGTGATCTTGGCGCAGACTGGTCTCTAAAAGACTTCCAGCTATGTATTAATTAGTGTAAACTTTCAGTGTCAAGAAAAACTATCCTTGTGAAGTATTACCAAGCTCTATTTTCAACTTCTGCCTAGCACAGCAGGTGCCCTATATCTGTATACAAAATAGTACAAGAAAAACATGAAAAATCAAATCTTGCCCTAATGTTTTGTGTTTCTTTTTTTTTCCATTAACCATCATGAAGAAAGTGTGAGCAATCAGGATACAAAGCAAAAGGGGGAAAACAAAACAAAATAAAGAATCAACAGCTTAAGTGAACATTTATTTTTAAGCACTGCCAGCTTGGTCACTGTCAGGTTTGTGCAGGTGCTGTTGCCAAATGTTTGGAGGCGTTTTAAGAGAGCTTGAAGGAAGTGAAATAAGCTTGCAGTGTTTAAGCAGGTCCTCCAAATTGTTAGGGACATTGGCTATCAGAAGGAATAAGAATGCAGTTTTGAACGTGGAGAGCAATATAAGACAAGGGGAGGTATCCAGACTTTGACGTGTTAGATAACTAGTCACACACACATAAGGGTTCTTGCACAGATTTGGTTCCCATCATGTGTGACTTGGTCTCGACTGACCTGGACAAAGATCCCGGAGGGAATGGCTGCAGGGAGATCACCCTCAGTGTGCTGTAGTGAGTGGTTAGCCACCTTCTCCATTGAAGTGTACCCCATTTGGAAGGTGCTGGTGAAGCTCAATTAGCAGTGTCATGCTGCAATCTTTTCAGAGTATTCTCTGATGAATACTGTACGCTTGATGGCCTCACCGGAAGTTGAATAGTTAACCATAATTTGTTTAACTAACTAGGTGCAAACTCTTGTGGTTAAGAACGCTTGTCTGCTATCCGTTCCGAATGACTTCATCTTCCTATACTTTGCTGCTGGGTAAGTGTACAGGATTCCTTCATGTAGGTGGTTTCAGAGCAATACATCGCTCCGCTCATAATAATATCAGTGCTGACATATGCATGCCAGGGGTTTGTGTTCTGAGTCAGGACTGAAATAGCTGAAAACATGCAACTCTTTCCCTAGCTTTGTATATCCTGTGGCAAACATGCTGCGGTGTTATTACAATGGAACCTAGAAGCTCTGAGTCTTTGAATCTGCTTTAGCTGCTGTAGTACCTTCAGAGTTAGGAAGGTCTTGTTCATTTACAGCAAGTAAAGTGGAACAATACCTAGTCAGTAAAGTTGGTAGATGGAGATACTCTGTAACAGTGTCATGTTTGTTCTGGTGTGTGTATGGCAAGCTCTGCATCTCCTGCCATCAATTTGTAGCAGAAAATTGTGGTCTTGTGTATGTGATATCTCCCTAATGTTACCCTTGGAGCAGTTAGTATTCAGTTCCCAATGATTATATTATTAGTATTTGTCTTTTTCAGTAGAACAAAATAGCATTTGGGATGTTGTGCTTGATATTGTGACGCTCCAGCTGTCTTTGCTATGTATTGACTGATTCAAGTCTGCCAGATGCCGTGCTTCTATTTTACCAATGGCACAGCTTTTTCTTTTTTACTTTTCCCCCTCCTTCTTCTAGTCTTTTACTTTACAGTGAGGTCATTTAGTCACTAGAAAGAAACAATGCCTTCGGCGTTCTTGTTGCCTGGATGTCAGCTGGTTGGTGCTGAGGGTAGTGTTTGGGGAACATGAGCAATGGTTGCTCCTTGTGGTAACCTCAGCTCACGTTCAAAGCTCAGGACATCAGTAGTAGCATCCTGCTGTGGTAACTGAGTGTTCAGCTTTTAAGCTCTGATATGCAGTAAATGTATCCATTCTGTACAGAAGAAGCCAGTCAGGATCCTTCCTTCCTTTTTGTGCTTCTGGGAATTCAGTGGCCAGAGGCAAAAGCTACCTAGTAGTTAGCTGATGCAGGTGTTGTTGATCCTACCCTAAATAAGAACTGCTAGGAAATAGGCCATGAGATGCTTCCTGTGAGAAGTTTGTGAGATGGTTTATATTTCTGTAAAAATGTAAAGGTGGAAAGATGTAGATAAGCTTGCAATTGAAGTAACTTATAGAAAATAATCACAGTATCTATTGACAGAAGCCCAGAAGTACTCCTCAAATCCAGAGCAAAATGTATCTTTGTTATTGTACAAAGTGGAGTTCTTGGACTACTGTCAGTTGTGCAGGTGGCTGGAAACTCTGAAAGACTTAGGAAGTTTCATCTATATCCTCTTACTGAAGAAAAGTGAAAAACACTGTTCAGGTTGAGTCAGAGAGGCATGTGGCTCTGGTCCATGGTGATAAACCATGGTGATAAATGCAGTGGTAGAAGGCTCTGGGGGAAGAAATGTGCTATGCTTTACAGCACATTGTCAGTGTGAACTGACAATTTAGCAATGACAAAGATGTTGGACTGAGATTATTTGAACAGAGAAGACAGACCCTGAGCAGAGAAGGTCTGAGTAGCCAGTGCAGTGCTGGCGATTGAACGTGTTCTGCAGTGAGATCCAGATGCAAGCTACTGAGGGAAGAGATGTGAAAACAGCCTTGATGCAGGATGAAGGTCCAATTTGGGAACAATAAGAAGGGATAGGACGGAAGGATGGAGGAAGAGTGTCTTATCCTATTTGAGGAATAGAAGAGTTGCCTGGGAAAGAAGATGAAGATGGAGCACTGGTCCCAAGGCTTGGCAGGGGATGAGCCATTGGACTTTGGATTTGAAGTATTTTCACTGGAGTGTGGTGGCTGAGAGTTTAATTTTTGAGGATTGATGTAATCAGAGTAAAACAACTCCAGCAATGCTAGAGAGAGGAAAATAAATGATGGAAGAGGAGCCCCATTTAGAGGATTGGTGGGAAAAAGCACGTTTCTGTTGAGAGGAATTAAAGCAATTGAAGGTTAGAAGAGGTGTTCAGATGCAAATACTGGGACTTCAGGAATTTGGAAAAGATGGTAGGATAAATGAAGTTTGGTGGGAGAAGAGCAAATAATGCATGTTTATCTTTGCCCTACTTGGCTTGCAGAGCTTCCATTCCTCAGGCTGTGCTCTCTCTGATGGTGTCCTGATAATTTTTTTTTTTTCTTCTTAAATAAAATTAAAGTTCAGAAAGCGTGAGGAGTGGGACCAGTAGATAAATGTGATTGGAATATGACTCCAAATTCAACTCTCTCAAACTGAAGTATTTAAATAGATAAAAGATATGGAAAAGGTATGTCAGTCTGGTCAAAGTGGAAAGAGAAGGTGAGAATCTAGGGATGGAGATTATCCATGTGGTTTTATGGCAGGGGAGGTGAAGGAGTTCAAGGTAGTGGGAACTGCTACTGTATATACCCAAACTGCTACTGTATACCCAAAAGTATAAGTGGAGGGCTAAGAGTGAACAAATAACAAACACTGTGGCCTTTTTACTACTTCCAAGTTGTCATGTCTCCTGCTATGAGGTGGCAGGGGAAGAAAACAATGTTCTAGTGATGTGTGCTGAAGGAGCAAATGATGAGTGACCTTTTTATTTATTCATTTTTGGGCACCTCAGTACAGAAAGGACATTGAGGTGCTGGAGCAGGCCCAAAAAAGGGCAACAAGGCTTGTGAAGGGCTTAGAGAATGTGCCCTATGAGGAGAGGCTGAAGGAGCTGGGGCTGCTTAGTCTGGGGAAAAGGAGGCTGAGGGGAGACCTTATTGCTCTCTTCCAGTATCTGAAAGGTGCTTATAGCAAGAGCAGGGTTGGTCTCTTCTCACTGGTAACAGGATGAGGGGAAATGGCCTCAAGTTGTGCCAGGGTAAGTTTAGTTTGGATAACAGGAAACGCTTCTTTACAGAAAGTGTTGTTAAGCACTGAAATAGGCTCCCCAGGGAAGTGGTTGAGTCACCATCCCTGGATGTGTTTAAAAATCCTTTGGATGTGGTGCTCAGGGACGTGATTTAGCGGAGGGTTGTTAGTTAGGGTAGTATGGTTAGATTGTGGTTGGACTTGATGATCTTTAAGGCCTGTTCCAACCTGAGTGATTCTGTGCTGGGGAAAGGGAGAGAATGAGCAAAGAAAGTTGTGAAGTTGAGACAACAAGTGGAAAGTAAAAACTAAACTGTCTGTAAAGTCCCTGAACAAGTTATTACATAGTTCCTGCCTTTCTGACTGTAGGAAGAAGTTGGATTTCTTTACTACATTTCTCTCACGTGTTGTTACTAAGTTAGAACAGGGATTTCTTTAGAAGCTGATCTGTGCTTCCCACTCCCTGTTTGTGGCAAGGAGTTCTCTGTACCATGTACAAGCAGACAATGTCTGTGCAGACTATTTGTCCTCCTACATAAATGCTGAGGGCATCTTGCTTGTTTTGCGCTTGAAAGGAAGACTTGTTCTGTGGCTTGGACTCAAAACAATGAATTGTTTTTTTTCTCCTCCACTCCATTAGCTGGAAAAAATACATAAAGCACAGCAGCTCTGAGTTCATTTAATGGAATGGCTAGAAGCCTTTGTATGTTCCAAACAAATATTTGGTAATTATTTTACAAAAGAATATTTTTTGGCTCACAGAATACGTACAAGAGAAAAAAGCTCTTGATGAAAATTCCCCTCCCTTAGGGCGCTGTTTCTCTTTCACTCATTTGAAATGAGAGCAATGGTGACAGGGTAGTCAGAAGAATCAGGGATAACCTGATGGGACTGAAGAGTGAATCTGAGGAGTGAACTGAGTGGCCTTTGAATGGCAATGTAAATGAATGGTGGCTTCTTCTGTTTTTGGTTATTGTAATTAAATCAGCACGCTTAATTCTTCCACGCTTGCAGTGCTTACATGCTCATTCCATGTCGCCTGGGCACGTGCTGTGCCTCACCCTTGTTTGCAGTGCCAGTTGAGTGAGAGACAGCAGTTCCTTACAAAGCCTTGCACGTACTGATTGCTTGGTTTACCCAGCTGGCCAGGGTGTTTTCATCTCCTTCATTGTTCAGTGATTTCACAGATTGAATGACCACTTCCAGAGCCTGCATATGGCCTGCCATGCAGGGCCAGCTGCCATTACCTGCTGTGCTTGTGGCCCTTTTCTGCAGTCAGTCAGAGGGACTTGCCCATTAGTCACGGGGTGAGGGAGGGACTGAATGGTACAGCTTGTGCAGGTTTTGTTCCTTGGCAAACTAGGCTGACAGTTTCATGTGTAAAAGTTGGTTTCTAAAATCTCTCTATGGAGTATAGGCTTAGCTTAGTTTTAAGCCCTGATTAAAAACAACTCAGTTTATGACAATAGGTACCTCCTTAGGATGATTGTATTGCTTGAAAGAGGCTTGCTACCAAACTCCCAAAGGTTACTGAGCTGGTAGCTGTCATTGACTAAAAGCATAAAACCCATCATTTAAGAACTAAAGTGGGTGTCCTGGTTTTTGCTTTTAAAACTGTCTCAACTGTGATCTTTCTTTTCAGTTGGCTACTTTGAGAACTAGTTTATTCAAGTTAATAAATCAAGGTACTGAACAGACAGGAAGGCATGCTTTCCACCTATAGTAAGAAAGTAAGGCCCTTTAGGATGTTGTAGCCTAAAAACATAAGAACCTCATGATCAGAAGAAGCTTGCTTGTACTGTCTCTCCACTTAAACCTGAAGAGTGTCTTTGCAGTCTTAAACTATGCCAGATGAAGAATATATTAACCAAGTTTTTTCACATCCTGAAGAACTTCACGTACTATGTAGAGGAATACCACTGGTACAGTCATGAAATTAACCTTGTGATTGTAGTCTGTTGGCTGCTTTGACTGTACATGTTCCTCATGATGGAAAGAAATCAAGCTGCTCTCATGCTTCTGGAATGTACATGGGTGATGATTTTTTTTTTTTTTTTTTCCTTGAGGTCTTGAACATGAAGACCTTGAGGCATGCCAGAGAGTAGAATCAAGTAGCATAGCTGGGAGCCAGAGAAGTTCACTGTTCAGCTTGGTGGAGGTGAGCTTTTGTTCCACCTACAGCTGAGAGAAGCTGAAGAGATAGGAAACAAGATGTGAGCTGGAGAGGAAACTGAGTAATAGCTGGGATCAAGATATTAGTTCCTCCAGTGGGTCTTATTTATTATAGTCTCTGCTGACAGCCAGTAGGGAAGAGTGCAAATGCATCCTTTGCACTATACAAATGATTTCCATAAACTGTTGTAGAGGAAACATCTGCGGATGGAAAACATCCTGTAACAGATAATACACGGAAAGAGTAGTGAACTGACCTGCTGTATACTTGCTTGTATTGTAAGTATAATGCACTGCCTCTGCACGCACTTGCAGAGTTGTTGCTGTCTCTTTGCAGTTTTCCCCTAAAAAGTGATGCGATACAAACAGTTACTGCTGCAACTTCCTGACTCTCAAACAGCACTGATGCCTCTTGTTTTACTTTTTTCTTCTCTTTACCTTTTCTATACAGTCAAAGTATCGGCAGTAGAAGTCACCACACCAGAGGAGATATTTGTGGAGAATGAAACAGACGTAAAGCTTCCATGCACATTTACATCCGTGGAGGTGATCAGCAGTGCAGCATCTGTTTCTTGGAGTTTTCAACCAGAAGGAGCAGCAACTCGTATCTCAGTAAGGAATGGCTGTAGGGAACCTAGCGGGGGTGGGAGGCTGCAAAACTATGCAGAGATCTGCTTGGTTTTAAAGGCAGTAAATATGGATTGAAGCCTTCTTTCATGTGTCTTGTCTCTGTCACTCTGATTTCAGTGTGGCTTTATTTTGTTGTTTAAGCGCTGCTTAGGAGTATTGCAACATGCTAGATCTTGGCAAAGGCTGGGGCATGCAGCAGCTCTAAAAGGTACTAGTAGTTTTTCAGTCAGAGGAGCAGTATGTTGAAGTGGCAGCCGTATAGAGGAAGTAGATGAGCATCTGGGAATCTTAGAAATTCTGTATCCTCCTGTACTTGGAAATGAACTGTGAAACTGCTCGTGTAATCCGAATTACCACTGTTATAGTGTTATGTATTGTACATATTGCTTATTTTCTGCATTTGTTCTGCTTAATTTCCCTTTAAAAGGGTTTCTAGTACCAGACTCCCTAGTTTCAGAGTGGACAACCTTCAGATCAAGGTAGGAACAGGTAAAAAGATGGGAGATGGCTTGGATGGAAAGAGGACTAGCTTATAGCCAGTTTCTTCTGTGGAACAGGAACTCCTTTATAAGGAGAGCTGTAGAAAGAGAAAGTTGGAATATAGTCCTAGATTTCTTTAGCCATGCTACAGAAGCTGAACTGTGGAGAACTCAGATTGAGTTTTAGTTGAGCTAAGATTGTTTCATTCTCTTTCAGAATGTGAAATAAAGAATGAATAATCTCCTGTAATACAGCCTTGATCACTCTCTAAGGTCATGTCCAATGCTTAAGCATCCCATATGTCTGAAAGCAGACCGCTATCCTGTAAAGCTCCTCTATTGCTGTAACTTATACAGTTGGACAGGTATAATGAGAAAAGGTGCAGTTTCTCCTTAAAAGATTTTTTTTATTTTTTTATTCAGCTTTAAGGACTTAGCTGTTTTCTGATTTTTAGGTGACTATATTTAATCACCTTAAAGGTTTCTGGAACACAGCTAGATACACTCTAAATTGCTAGTGGAGTATTCTGGGAAACAGAGGGGAGGAAGGTATTGTCTGTTAATTAAGCTATACTGTGATTTTGAGTCACACACACAGCAACACACAAGATAGGAAACTTGGTATCCTTTTCCTGCTAGGCCAAGCAAGGTTTCCTTTGCCTGAAAGACAGATGGCTGTGATCCAGAACAGTTCTATACTGTTATTATCCCCAGTTTACTAATATTTTTCTCTTCTCTTCTCTTTGTCTGGCAAATCCTATGTCCTCAAAAATGGGAGAAAGGAAGAACAAAGAAAACCAAACCTCGCAGTCTATTATGATAGTATAATTGAGGTGTAAGCCATAGCATTTGTTACATGATTAAGATGCAACAAGCCAAATTAATGTGAGGCAGGAGGCAAAACAAAAGAAAAACGTAAAATCTGTAATACTAGCTGAGTATTGTATAGTGAATTCTAGGATAGTGCTGTAACAGCAAGGAAGTATAGTATGTCCATAGTGTCTAATTGAATTTTTCTTATCCTCTTTTCCTTGACTACAGTTTTTCTATTACTCTAATGGAAAGCCGTACACTGGAAAGGACATACCATTTAAAGACAGGGTCACTTGGGCTGGAGATCTTAACAAGAAAGACGCTTCTATCAGTATATCAAACATGCAGTTCCAGGACAATGGCACTTACATTTGTGATGTCAAGAATCCACCTGATATTGTTGTCAAACCAGGAGAAATCCGGCTTAGAGTTGTGGAGAAAGGTATTCATCCTCTGTGATTTGATTTTACATTTTTTTCCTCTTCTGTACTTGCTTCACTTTTCTTGGGGGGGAGGAACCATGTTTTTTTAGTTTTGGAACCCATGAAATATGTGTACTAAAGAATGTGGGGAGAGGGGGAAGGAGAAATTTGCCCTGAGCATCTAGTGATAGGCAATGAGATATGACTATATTCCATACAAAGGTGTTTGTGTTGGATGTGCACTTAATCTCTTTCACACATATATTCCTATATTATCCATACTGACTCTAACAAACTGACAGTGCTGGCTACTTTCAGTCATTTAATTCTGACTATTGTTATTCAGTAACAGTTATCGCAGTTCAAGAGCACTTAAATTCCATATGTCAATTTGGCTCTTTATTTCCCCTGGCCACCCAAAACATATGGTTGTTCTACGTAAGCTGGAGGTCAGCCAAGGTATGACAGCTCCTGCAAAGAAACGGTTCTCACAGTGATCAGATTTCCAAATTTGTATTTAATAATACGACAAATGTTGAATTCATAAATGACAGTGCTGATACTGCTATTCCACTAGATTTTAATATGTTGGAGGAAATAATCATGTGTATTCCCTAGTTTAGAATGATCCTGCTGCTATAAGAAGTTTATTTACTCTGTGTACTGTAGGCAAGGTCTACATCCACCTCTTTTGCAGAGTAGCTCAAGTTGGATGAAACCTTTTGGAGGTCGCTTAGTGCTTTCTGTTTCATAGAATTTTGAAATGTACATATAATAGGTCAGTTTATTTTCTTATACTGTACTAAAAGTCTATGAAGAAGCAATAAAGCAATGACTGGTTTGGCAAAGACAGTCTGTCTTGGCAAAGCCTGTTCATTTGTTTATTTTGAGTTAAAATCTGAAGACACTTCAGTACATTAATTCAGCTGATATTTTTTTGTCAGAATTGCATGCTGGTTTCAGTGAGATAAGGAAAAATGAAGCCTGAGGATCATCTGTGAACAATCAAATGGAGTTCAGTATGCATGGATGACTCTGCGTTTCATAGAATCATAGAATATCCCAAGTTGGGAGGAAACCCCAGGGATCAGCAACTCCAACTCTTGACTCCACAGTGGATCACCCAAAAAATCAGATCCTATATCTTACGGTGTTGTCCAGACACTTCTCGAAGTCTGGCAAGCTTGGTGCCATGGCCACTGCCCTGGGGAGCCTGTTCCAGTGCCAGATCACCCTCTCAGTGAAGAACCTGTTCCTGATTATCTAACTTGACCCTCCCCTCACACAGCTCCATGCCATTCCCTCGAGCCCTGTCTCTGTCACACATAGCAGAGCTCAGCGCTGCCCCTCCGCTCCCTGTGAGGGGCTGCAGCTGCCGTGAGGCCTCCCCTCAGCTCCTCTGCTCTGTGCTGAACCAACCAGGGGACCTCAGCTGTTCCTCATGGGCCTTGCACTCTGAACCTTTCACTGTCTTTGTTACCCTCTTTTGGACACTCTGTAATAGTTTTATCTCCCTTTTTGTACTGTGGTGCCCATGACAGCAGTCTGTGCACGAGTTGAGGCCACAATACTTTGTATCACATGGAACAGAATGCAACAATTTGGATTTTTTTGAACACCTGCAACACCTTGTAAACAGATTTTCACACTGTAGGCCAATAGCTGTAGCTGTATCCTATTTTGCTTTCTGACTGTATATGAAAGTACTACTCATGTAATAGGTTGTAGCACATCCAGATCTGAGCTCATCTCTACTTTTGTACTTTTTTTCCACTTTATATAAATTTACTTGTTCTGAATTGTTTATCTGGTGTCGTAAATTATTCAAAGGCACTGTCATGGCTTAACCTGAGTAAGCAGTTTAGCCCTCCACAGCTGCTTGGTTCCCTCCTTCCCCTGCAGGGGGGAAGGGGGAAGGAAATTAGGAGGGCAAAGTTAGAAAACTTGTGGTTTGAGATCAAGACAGTTTCATAAGAAAGAAGAAAAATAAAAGAGGGGAAAAAACAACAACCTGCAACTAAGCAAATAAACTCAAGCAATGCACAGTGCGTTGTTCACTACTGCCTGACCAATGCCTAGCCAGTCCCGGAGCACCACCAGTTCTCCTGCTCAAGTTCCCCCTGGTTTTGTTGAGAATAATATTATGTGGTACAGAATATTTTAACTGGTGGTGTCCTCTGGCTTCTTATGCACCCCCAGTAGTCCCCCTAATGGGGCAGTGAGAGAAACTGTTATAAAACCCATGACTCTGTATAAGTACTGCTCAGCAACAACTGAAATATCATTGTATTGTTATTACTGTTTTCATTACAAATGTAAAGCATTGCACAATACCAGCTACTATGAAGAAACTCTACTCCAACCAAAATGAGGACAGTGTCCACCCCTTATTCCATATCATTTATGTCATGCCTGGGTACTGTGCTTTCCAATGCATCCCCCAGCAGCTACTAACAGCTATTGGACTCTAATACACAGTAAGGCAAACAAGCCCCATATGAGCATGGAGGCCTGCATACTAGCAGCTAAGCAGCTCTAGCATCTATTTGGTCTTCACAATCCAATAAAATCTGTCATCATCTCAAAGGATTTAACTTGGCTAAGCAGCAAAGCACCACACAGCTGCTTGCTTGTTCTTCCTTGCCCAGTGAATGGAGAAAAAGAATTGGGAATCATGAGGGCAAAAGTTAGAAAGACAGCTTAATTAGATAGGAAACCAACAACAGCAGCTTAAATAACCCAATCTCACAAGTGATGCACCACACAATTGCTTAGCACTAGCCAACTGCTACCCAGCCAGTCCATAAGCAATGACAGCACACCCAGCCATCTATCCAGTTCTATTGTTGAGTATGGCATTGTGTGGTACCAAATATTCCTTTGATCTATTTGGGTCAGCTACCCTGTAAATGCTCTACATGGTCACGCATACCTCACTCATTTAAATGATCATAGACCATAGATGCTTGGCTGGCTGTACGTTTTGGTTTAGTCATCTGATATATTGCTGTTGTTGGCTCAGCTGCTCAAAATTGCTAAGCTAATTGAGCTGATTTTCATTGCAGTGCCTCCCCAGCATTTGCTCAAACGGCTCTTTCAGCTACATTGGAAGGACCCTGTTGGTGAGGAGAGAAGGAAGGCTGTTGTTATGTTAGCATATGTGAATCTGGGAAGCACTATTATTCAAAGCCTAAATTATATGAATTTGTTGGCAATTCCAAGTCCTCTACATGAGTTTGTCCCCTACCTGTAACAGGAAGTTACTTAAAACAGTGCTTGACACAGCTTGTGTTATCTGGAAGCAGTCCATCTTTGATCTGAACTTTCATGAGAAGAATACTAGAATTGTTTTATGGAAATAGTTATACTTACCTTCATTTGAAAGCTTCAGTTTTATGAAATAGGGAAGAAACTAGTCCTACTAGCACATTTTCAGAGAAAATGGGATGCTTTGAATTAAGGTGATTTTTAGTGAAAAACATCCCTTGAACTACTGACTTTTTGACTTATGTTAAACCATGAATTTATACATCAGCTTTGAAAGCTAACACTTAGGTATGTAGCTGGGACTGTCTTTTACAATGAGATCATTGACTGCTCTGCAAATGTTTATGAGGAATTCAAGTAAGTGCCGTAGTGAAGAACATCAGAAAAGAAGGGGTAGGAGGCATAATTCTCCAAGTAAGCTATGTGGTCATGAAATTGTGTAAGCTTTTCTGTAGTCTGTAGGATTGTATTGTGAAAGATAGTGAAGCCTCTATGTTCACATGCAAACAGTTGCATCTTGCAGCCTTTTAAAAGCTCTGTCCACAGAACTTCTTTGATCCAAATCCAGCCAACTGAGTCAAAGAAGCAACAAATCTGCCAGGTTAGAGGATGTCAACATTTTAATATCACTTTTTCAGCAGATAACACTATAGCTTTAGATTGCTACTTTCTTGTTATGAAAGTGTTTTTTGTTTTTGCTTTATTTTTCCCCCTTGAGTACTTGACAGGAGGTGGTCTGCTAACAGAAATACATGTCTCTTTTGATACTTCTGCAAACAAAAAAATTATCCCCTGGAAAGGGGAAGAAAAACAAAAACTGTGAACTTCTACTTCTTAAATGCCTCAAAATAAATATGTTTATCTTTGCATGAGGTTCAAATGCACTCTGTCTTCTGAAAAGCATTATTATTTGTAAGACTCTTCTCCTTCATGGCAGATGGATCTTTGGGTTACTAGAAAGTTTGTAAAAGAAAGGATGCCTTCTTCTATGTTGTGGCACTTACGTCTTCATCTTTAATTTCTTTCTAAAACTTGTTACAAACTGGTATCAAACACTGGAGAAAGCTAGGAAAGCTGCCAATAGGATACACAGTCAGATGGGGGTATGTAGCAATTGGACAGATCAGTATATTGGGAAAGGCGTTACAACAAAAGTGTGATGACACCTGGCACAAAAGAGAGGTGCTGTAAAGGAAGGAAAGAAGATTGCTCACCCTTATCAGAAGATTCTAGGCTCACAGAGGAAAACTTTTCCAAGAGGAAATCTTCCACCATGGCAGTCAGCCTTTAAATGGGGTGTAAGAGAGGTGCAGCCAGACTCCACCCCTTCTGGTCACACAGCTGAATTGCCTTCACCTGTGCTCTCCGGGCTGACCAAGTCCTTTCCCTGGGTGATCAATCAGTGATTTAGGCCATGATTCAACAGTTACCACGCAGGATATCACCAGTAAAATGGCTAGAGATCATGTAACCTATTTCTTGGAAGTCATTAAAGTCAAAATGAACAATACTAAATGTTGTGTGATGCCCTTGCATCATCAGGGTACTGTATTGCGCTATTCCCTTCTATACAGGTATGTCAAAATGGAATTGATCTACATACTGCATACTTGTTGGGAATGCTTTGTATAAGCATGCTATGTGGTCCTCGCTGGAACAAATCCAGCAAGGAGGGACCCACCTTTTGAATGCATCATTTAGCCTGCAAAAAAGACGAAAGACTCAGGGAGATCTTATCAATGATTATTAATATCTAGTGAGGGAAAGTATCTAAAGAAGACTGAGCCATGATCTTTAGTGGTACCCAGTGACAGGGGAAGCAGCAATGGACACACTTGCCAACACGATAAATTCTATCTCAACATTAAGAAAACACATTTTTACTATAAATGTGGTGAGCACTAGAATGGACTGATAGAGAGTTTGTGAAGCCTCCATCCTTGGAGATAGTGAAAACCAAACTGGAGAGAGTACAGAGAAGGCTGCATAAGTTTACCCTTCTTGGACCAGGGGATTGGCTGTTGAGGCATCTGTTCCAACCTCAGTGATTCTGTGATGGTCAGATCCAAGTGTCTGAGATGGATTTTCTATGTAATGTGTCGTACCTGTTGCATCTTATGCCAATTCAGTGGAATTTGGTGCAGGTAGCTAGCATGGAATGGATTCTGGGAAGAAGGCTTCCAATTGAAGATGTTCATTGCATTAAGCAAGATGAGAGGGAGAATGTCGTTTGCAAATGAAAAAAGATATAATGGTGCTTTGTGTATTCTTTCTCTTCTAAATCTTTTGTACTCATTCTCTGGCTTTTATTTCTGGCTGCTCTTTCTTGGCCTCCCCTTCCCCCATATTGTACTGGGGAAAACGTGAGTAAAGCAATACTGTGTTCCTGTAAGCATATTGCTAATAACTTTCAATGAACCTGACTTAAGAAGGAGAAGAATGACTCTATAAAAATGTATAGAGATGTATTTGAGACACCAGAAGCATGTATAAATGCTCTTAGAGTGATCGTGGGTAGTAATTGGGCTGTCTGCTGCATGCTACCCAGAGAACACCCAGCATTCAGCACTCTTAGTTGATCAGCGATGTGCAAAGTGCTTTCAAGTATGCCTGCCTTTTCCTGTTGACCTCACTGAGAGTTACCAGATGAACATAACTTTTTTTCTCAAGTACAAAATAAGGATTATTGTCATTATCACTTGTGTTCCTTCACACGTAAAAAAATTCTCGATATAAAGTCTCTTCTGAAGGATGGTAACTTAAAGAATGCTCTTGGTGTCTGATTTGTTCATACATTATTCTGCTAGCTGCCTGCTGTTGCTACCATTTAGGCCGCATGTTTTAATTCCTGGGTATGACATTAGTGCTTCTGCTGTAAAAGAATCCAAGGTCAAGAACATGTGTCATTTGCACTTCTGTTATTCAGGGAATGCAGAAGAGTTGAATGTTTTCTCCCTTCTCTCCCCAGACAGCCTGCCTGCGTTCCCCATTGCCATGGTGGCAGGGATAGTCATCGGTACGGTTACAGGTCTCACACTGCTCATCTCTATTGTCGTGTGTCTTGTTATGAGAAAGAACAACTCTAAAAAACGTTACTCTGGGTAAGAGATCTCTCTCCTCACCTGTGAATGATGTGAGGAACAGCAGTAGGATCAGAGGGAGGGCTTAGAGGGGGTGGGTCAGACAGGGCTTGGCAACCATGGCTAGAGATAGGGTATGGCCATGTGTTAGACTGATCATCTGTCCATAATGGTTATCTTTTTTGTTGTGCTTGAAAAGACCTACTGAGCATGAGTTACACTTGAAAATCACTAAATATTAACTGTTGATCCCCTGCCCTGTGAACACTTAACTGAAGATCCCCTTGCTGCTTTGTTCCCCTTTCCTAGTCCCTCATCCCTCTACCCTCCCCCTTGCCAAAGGAAAACTGCCACACATGAAATTTTAAGAAACAATCTGTTGAGATTAAGACTGAATTTTTCAATTTCCAGTGTTATACTCCTGAGTCTGGAGTACACTTACCAACATCGTGTTCGTCACCACTCAAGTAAAGAAGGAGTAGCCACTTCAAATCCATTCTCATTTGCTGTTTGTTTCTAGTTAACTGTTGCCATCCCTGAAAAGTTTTTTTAGTGTTAGCATATCTCCAAAATGAAGCACAAACCTTTTGAGGTGGTGATGAAAGAAACCAACAAGACGTGATAAAAGCAGACTTGAGCTTGGAGCTTGGTGGTGGTGGGGGAAAGCACTTTCTCATTTCTCCTTCTCTAACTAGTTGGTTATTTCTCTAAGAAAGGATGAAAACTATGTCTTTAATCTTAGAAATGAAACCACAATTAATAACTTTTTTCTATTCTTTCCCCACCAAATATTCCTGCTTCCTGCAGGTTCTTTTGGTTGCCTGTAGGGTGGAAGAAAAGAGCTCAAAAAATAAACTCGTGGAGATTTCTAAATTGAGCTTTACCTTCTCCTTCTCTCAGTTGGAGAGCTTAGAGAAAGTGAGTTGGCTTTTCCCAATGGTAAAGCTGAGTGCAGTGAAGGCAGTGAAGTGCTCAAAATTGTGTGGAAAGTCTGCTTTCCACTTTCTGCATGCGTCCTTCCCCTGAAAACTGAGAAGGAGTGTCATGCACCAAAAGTGCACATGAGATGGTTCACATGCTTTGCTTCTGAGTGACCCCGCTGTCCAGTGTCCTCCTGCTGAAGGATATGTGCTGGAGCTGAGCCTGGAGAAGTAGCTTATGTGCTGTAATTTCTTGTAGTAGATTTAACTACTCTCTCAGGGAAGTAATCTCTGAAGATTAAATACTGCTTTTGATGACCATGCCAGCTCTGCATGACATGCTAAGAGAAATCAAATGTGCTGTGACCCCCTTCAAACTTACAGACTTTCTTCTCCATGACACTAACCTAATGAGTGGTGGTAGTGGTGAGATGCACTTACTCTTAGATAACAACTCTGCCTTGAACTGAGGTGGGCTGGGGCACTGCATGGCCGCAGTTTCCGTTCATGATCTGACTTTGGTGTTTTTTTGTTTTTTGTTTTTATTTTTCCTTTCTGCCTTGGTGTGCTGGGATCGGATCCTGCTTATCTCCCTCTCCTTACAGAGATCCTGATATAGACGCCAGATTGGGAATGTAGCAGGGCTGGGTCTTCTCTTCCAGTCCCACTAGACACCATGGTAACTAATCAAGTTGGTGGTTGCTGTTAATACCTGTGTGTATGTGTACACATTTCCTCTTCTTTTGCTGACTAACCAGCCAGCTCTATGCTCCATAACTCCACTGTAATTTGTGCTGGAATCTGTGGCAAAGGGATGATGCATTTCACTGGATGCTTGGGTTTCATTGTCTCATGTCTAGCTGGGGTGGGATTGCTTCTTCTCTCAAATGGTGTCCCTCCATCTCTTCCCGCAGTGAACTTGCTGGTGCATTGCCTAAAGCAAAAGAAAGTCCTTTCTGTATCAGGATGAAAACAAATTCCCTATTAAGTGTTCTTGTGGCTCAGAGCTCTGCCACTTGAAAACTTACAGTTGCAGTGACCTATGTGCATGAGCTGCTTAAAAAGAAATTTTAACTTTTAGCTAGTATGGACCTTAGAAATTTTGTGAATAAAGCAAACAATTCATGGTTATGTCATCTTGGTCACAGAAGAGCTGCTGTGTCTCTCAGATAGAGTAGAAACCCCTTGCTCTGGTGACTTAGTTTGCAGTCTTTTTCCTTTTCCTTTTCCTTTTTCCTTTTTCCTTTTCCTTTTCCTTTTCCTTTTCCTTTTCCTTTTCCTTTTCCTTTTCCTCTTCCTCTTCCTCTTCCTCTTCCTCTTCCTTTCCCTTTCCCTTTCCCTTTCCCTTTCCCTTT